CCCCCCCCCCCCCCCCCCTTTCATCTACGATGGATTTGTTGGTTTTGAGGTATCTTTTTTTGTAACATTGGTTATACATATTTCTATATTAACTGCTAGCGGGTACTCTATCACCCCGGATACTACTTCAAAGTCCACTGCTGATATTTTTCATTCAACAAATATTCCCTTTCAAGCTTATATTTGGGTATTTTGAGGTAAGGATGGGCTATTAGGGATGGCTCTTGTCAAAAATAAATTAATGATAACCATCGAGTCCTTGATTGGCTATGGAGTTCGTGTTGTCATTGAACCATCTTGTTAGCCCTTGGAGTATGACTATTGGCTTAAGCATGTTCTGGTGACGTTCTCCAATTTTCCCATGTTCTTCTCACTTTGCTTTTTTCAAGTGCTCATCCATTTTTTCAATGCAAAGTTGAGCTCATCAGGAGGACCCCCCGGGACTCCAGCCAGTCTACTACACTTGCAAGGCTTGGAGAGGCGCTCTCGAGATTTGTTAGATGTAATGATTAGATTTGGTTCAGACATCTAGACCTCCATGGCTGTATCCCCGCCTACAAAAAAATGCAGCTCGTTTCTCCCATATAAACCCGGAAAACAACAACTCATCCCCCCCCCCCCCCAAATCTGATAGGCCTCTCCAAAGAGCGATTTCCTTTCCAATATACAAGTACACACATATAGTTAGGTAAATTTTGTCTACCATCTATCGCTATGTAGTATTTAATCGTAAATACATTCCCTCCTCGGGACACACGCAAAGAAAACGGAAAGCAACGCTCGCAGATACAAAGGTAACTTTTTCGCCAAAACCAAGGGCGATTAGTTGGCGTCCTCGGGGAAATACTCTTTGAGTGTTTCCAAGACGCCTTTTTCAGCAATGTCTTTCATGGCCTGTTGAATCTCGTTAGTGAACCTGGGATATCCGCGCAAGTCATCGCCGAAGAGGTTCTTGATTTCCAGCAGCCCGCTGGGGCCGCCATCGTCGGCCTGAGCCGCAGCCAGGAGCTCGTCCAGCATAGGGTCCACGACTGTAAAGGTTTTGCCGTGGTCATCGACGCCTTTAATGTACAAGAACCAAGCGGCCGCAACGAAACACAGGCGGCGGAAAGGATATTCACGTTGCTCCTTCTTACTCTCCATAATCGCCTCGGCAATCGACGGCATGATGAACTGTGGGATCTTGCCGGAGGCATTGAGGCAGACGCGGGGCAGCTGGTCCTTGATTGTCGAGTTGGAGAAACGCTTCATGAGCGTTTTGCAATACTCGTCAATGTTGACGCCTGGAATTTCCGGCAATAGGGGCTTCACCTCCTCTTGCATCATCTCCCACACCAACTTGCGCAACTGCGGATTCTGCATAACTTCGTGGACATATTCGAAGCCTGCCATTTGGCCTGGGTAACCGATAGCCGAGTGGCTGCCGTTGAGCAGACGGAGCTTGTGCTTCTCAAACTGCTCGACGTCGTGGACGTTCTTGACGACCTGGACACCGACCTTCTCAAAATCTGGACGGCCGTTGGAAAACTCATCCTCTATAACCCATTGCATAAAGGGCTCTGTGACGACGGGCCAGGCGTCCTGGATTCCAAAGTCCTCCGCCAGTACCTTTTTGTCCGATTCTGATGTCTGAGGGGTGATGCGGTCGACCATGGCGTTGGGGAAGGCACCTTTCTCGGCAATCCAATCCGCGATCTTAGGGTTGCGCAAGCGCGCAAATGACACTAGCATGTTGCGTGTTATGGAGCCGTTTTTCTGCATATTATCGCACGACATGACCGTGAAGGGGTCTTGTCCTTTCGCGTAGCGTTGTGCCAGGGCAGCGTAGAGGAAACCGAACGTGGTACACGGGGCTCTCTCGTTGCCCGGTTTGATGTCATTCTCGATATCGGGGTGGTCGCTTATCAGCTCGTGTGTGTTTTCGTTGTAGTAGTAGCCGCTTTCGGTGATGGTGAGCGACACAATACGGGTATCAGGGTGGGCCATCTTGTCGATGACGGCTTCGCGGTTATCGGGGGCAAAGAGGTAGGAATTGATGCATCCAACAACGTGGGCAAAGCTTCCTTTGTCAGAGCGCTCCATAACGGTGTAGAGGTGGTCTTGCTCTCTCAGGACATCACGCATGGTAGCATCAAAGGGTTGCAAGCCAACACCGCAAATAGCGTAGTTGGTCTCGCCATGCTTCTCCATCAACCGGTCGATGTAGACAGCCAGATGAGCTCTGTGGAAGCCGCCGACACCAACATGGACGATTCCCTCCTTAACGGGGCGACGGAGGAAACGGTGGTTTGGGATTTGGATCGGCCCCTTGCCTGCCTTCCCAATTAGTTCCAGATTCTTGCTGTTGAGCTTGAGGGGTGCCATTGTGGTCAGAGGGATTGAAGAAAGGGTGAGCTTGGAAAAAAAAAATGATGAAAGGATTGCAGCTGCATCGACCAGCGTGCGAGGGTCACCGCTGGTTTTGACCGCTGATCCTGGAAAATGTCCTGGGCGAATATTACATCATGTGGACAAAACCGCCACCCCTGAAGGTGCCCACCTTCCTGCGACTGCACAGAGCCATATGAGATAATCCTTTGGCATCTGATTAGTTTGTTTTTTTGGGGCTGTGGACCGGTCTGTTCCCAGCTTTGGAAAGGTGTGGCCGTCTAATAATAAAAGCACCTTGCGTCTGAGCTGTCCGCTTCCGATCTTGGGGGGCCGAGAACGTTCTTCTGCCGATGCACTGGCCCCTTTCGGGAATTTTGTTTTGCTCAAGGGATTCTTTCCAGGGTCAAGACAAGGCGTGGTATGTGGTTTCCCTATACGGAGTACGGAGCGTTAGTAGAAAAAATCAAAACACTGGCGGAATGGTACTGAACATGCTGATAGACTTGAGATCAGAGCTGAAGCTGAAATGGGAAAGCCCCACCCGAGGGCACTCGGTCTGGAGTTGCCACTTTTGTGTGGATTTTACGGAGTGTTTTCGGATGTAAGTCATTGTTGGCTTCAACACTACATCTCCTTTGGTAAGATGGCCGAGTTGGTCTAAGGCGCCAGGTTAAGGTATACCTTGACTCCACAACTAGCAATAGTTTCCTGGTCTCGCAAGAGGCGTGGGTTCGAATCCCACTCTTATCATTCTTTTTGATTCCTTTCAAAAACTTTTTGGCATTTATATTACAGGAGGCCTTCGGGTGTGAAAATTCTACCAAAGATTCATGAATTGTTATATTCAAATTCCGCATATTTACCCTAGTCGCAATTCTAGGTCTACATTTGCAGGATGCTGGACAGCCAATCCCGAGTAATGTAAGAATCAGCCGGAAGGGCCCTCAACGACAAGAGCATAAGCGCAAGGGTTCCAAAACGTGCTAAAAAAAAAAGTACAGATACAAAGATCCATCGGCAAGCACAATCTTAAGCACTATGACGGGAGGATTTGGATCTCCCAGGTTCTTCATGAACGAAGGGAGCAGGTTCTTTCCTGCAAGCCACACGGCGATGAGAAGTCCTTATCTCCACATCGAGCTGGTGGGAGAGCAGGTTCGGGTCGTAGGTGGGCTTATCTTCACTCTTTCCGGAGGAAATATGGACCGAGCCGCGTTAGAAGGGGTGGCTGTGCAGCATCATGATGGAGATGTAGTTCTCTGGGAGAGATTTGGCCCGCACGTCGGTAAGGGTTGTTTTACCTGGGTTCATGTGGAGCTGGGTGGGGAGGAAGATGTAGTGCAAGGAGGGGTCTTCACTTTGGAGGAGTATCTTGCGGATGTGAGAATACTGCGCTTGCAGATTAGTCGGCAGATTATCGTTGTCGAGATATTTGGAGAGCAAGGAGTTGATTTCTTCTTTCGGCACAGCGCCGGTTCCATCCACTAACGGGAGATAGGCGATACTGAGGGGCATACCTGCGAGAGGGCCTCCATGCGTCTCCTCGCAAAGCTTGATGAGTGCCTTGACAACGTTTGGATCGCGCAGGATATCAACCGAGACCTGGCCATCGGCGACCTCCAAGTTAATGCTCGTGATGCTGTGGTCTTGAAGGTTCTCACCTACAGCGGGGTTGTCGATGACTACGGGGATGCCGTGGGTCTGGAGCAGATCTGCACTGCCGATGCCCGAGAGCTCGAGCAATTGAGGGGAGTTCAGGCTCCCTGCACACAGAATAACTTCTTTCTTTGACTTGATCTCGTATGAGCTGTCGTGGGTCTTGACTTGCACACCTGTAGCGATAACATCTCCCTCTTGCTGGGTGAAGAGGATTCGCTCGACCACAGTCTCTGCGAGGAGTCGAAGATTTGGCCGCGCCGCAACCCCAGGGGAGTAAAATGCCGCTGCATATCCTCTTGCCCCCGTCTTGACATCGACACTTAGTGGACAAGTAAAAGCGCCCAGTTTATGGCCATCAAGAGGATCGGCATCTGTTTCCCAGCTCAATTTCGCAAATGTCTCGTTCCAAGCCTTATTGAGCGGCCCATAAACATCTGGAAGAGATACGGGGACAGGGCCATCGCATCCTTGGTTATCAACTTTCATGTATCGGCCTGTCCCAAGTAGTTCTGCTGTAGCCTCACTGGGTGCAGTATACGATTGAAATTTCCGGAGATGGGGGGCCATATTCTCGGCGCCCCATCCATAACTTCCCAGCACCTGCCATGCATCGAAGTTTGATGCGGTAGGGTATACAATCGCGGAGAAATTCAATGCGGAGGAGCCGCCGACGACACGACCACGGGGCTGGCCGATTTGTCGGTTTTTTACATGGACCTATCCATGAATTGACTTTAAATACGAGAAGGTGATGTGTAGAGCGGATATACCTGCGGAACACTCATGTAATCCCAGTCAAAGTCCGGGCTGCCATACATCGTGGCCAAAAGTCCAGGGGTTTCGATACGAGGATCCCCCATTCGATTGGCGCCAGCTTCAATGAGGAGGACCGTAATGGAGGTGTCTTGGCTTAGCCGATTTGCCAAAACAAGACCGCCGATTCCTGCGCCGATGATGATGTAGTCGTAGTCATCCATGTTGTAGTTTATCAAGATTTGATGACTATGGAGAGGAAGTGAAAAATTGATGTAGAAACATTTCAGGGAAAAAAAAAGAGTAAACTGAGAATTGATTGAGGATGACAGAAGTACCATGTCCTGTAGGCTTCAAGTAAGCTGTTACAACTTACACACCTAGTCAGCTCTGTACTCTGTACTTTGTTCAGAGAATCGCTTATACCCCCCTCGGTGTGGCTAGTATCCACCCTGGAACAAGTGAAGTGACTTCCTATTTGTTAAAAACTAAGGAACTGGAGAAAATAGGGGAAAAGGTCTTTGCACGTTTTATTTGGCCCCAACTAGGTTGAGCTAGTTGATATTCTTTCCAATGACAGTTTGTTTCTTTAGCCTTCAAGTCCTTTGGTAAAAACTAGTTTCGGTCCAAGAACATGGCCCGCCATGCCGGCCTGTAACCTCTTGCTGATAATTTTGTTTGGCAGTTAGTCCGAAGCCCTAATGCATCGTACTTTATAAAAAAACAGAGGTAGACAACCGAGTTTGCTACCCGTGGACTAGCAGCTTTTTTCAAGTTCCTTCGCCTTTGATATTCTACAATTTGCAGAACATACGCCAAAATCCAAACTGATAGAATTCATAACAAAATGAGATTATATGTTTTCACCTTCCCCATCATGCGTGACCAGCTCATCGCCAACACAATCCTTGTCGCACTCGCTACCCTCATGGTAATATTGCGTGGGGTCTCCCGACGAATCTGAAAAGCCCGTATAGGATGGGACGATGTATGCTGCGTTGCAGGGCTTTTTCATACATATGGAATGCTTGCAATGCAATTTCACTACGTTCGGCTCGGGATGCGATACCACACCATGACTATTCCCCCAGAGAATGCCGTTTTGATCGCCAAAATACTCATTGTCCACCAAAACGTTTACTATAACGCCATGATCCTAGCTAAATTCTCCTATCTTGCCTTTTATCTGCGCATCTTTGTATCCAAGGAATTCCGTATCCTGACGTGGATTTGTATGGGCTGCGCGGGAGCATACTGGACTGGGAGTATGCTCCAGGTTTTCCTGATCTGTACACTCTATCTCCTAATATCAACATTAGATTAGTGGTAGGTATAGTAGCGCTAGGGAGTTAATAGCCCTCCCTTTCGGGGGGCCGTAAAAATTCTAGACGCAAGACTAACGAGCGTATCTTAGACGCTACCTATAATACACGCTAGCTACTAAGTTATATTAGTAGTAATAAACTCTGCTAAAGTTGCGAGACTAGTCCTCGAATGTCTGGGGTAGTTTAGGAGCCTACTACCGACCTAATTAAGAACTCTAAAAGCTAGGACTAACCGTGCCAAGCGCCCAACCACCCAGGATGGCGCTTGGCACGGTTAGAAGTAGCAATTTAAAAACTACGCTAGTTAGTAGCTAGATCAAGTAAGATTTTTACGTAGTAAGGATTTAATCTTCGAATGTCAATGTGTCACAGATAAATATGTGCGCTACTATATATATGTTGGTCCTGGGCATGTCAGAGCTCGAGCTCTGACATAATGGTCTTTTGGCCGAACGGAAGGGAGTGCACCTAGGCATAGGCTTTACATTTACGTGATCCGTTTTCAAGTACTAGTTAACAACCGCTAGCATAAAATTCGGTGCAAAATAGGCGGCTAGCGATGCCTTGACTAGGGGCCTACTAGGCGTATGTTAGACTTGTCACTTATTTAACATAGCTCATATATATAATGATAAAACGCGAGGTCTAAAGAAGTGTAAACTTGATAGAGTATACTGCTTGCTAAACTCCGAGTTTTAATTAAGATGTGGTAAAATAAGCTCGTTAGGCGTAGGAAAATTTATCTATTTTATTTAGCTTAGTGTCAGGGTGCGGGCTGGCAGGACGGTATGATAGGAGATGACTGGTAGGAACAGGTTATAAAATATCAGATTCCCATTGACAGGTACAGGCAGGGGCAGGCTATTATACAAGACGTAGCTCGAAGAGCTGCAACAGGATCTAGAACTGAGGTTCAGATAAACAGGTCGGAGATCACGTGTCGTGATCTTCCTCTTACTAAGCATCACGGTTCGCACCGTGACACTTAGCTTTGATAGGGTCTTGCGCGTATTAGTACTATTAGTACTAATACGCTTATTTGCTAGCAGACCAAGCGTTTTTAGTATGGTTTATCCTAGGTACTTGTACCTAGGATTTGCTAGTTCTACTCAATTTGGTGCTTTCTTCTTTTCATTCTTCTACTCTCTCTTCCACCTGTAGCTACAAGATAAACTATCTTCACAGGCTGTATCTCTGCAACCTTGGATCAGATAAGGCAAATGCGCGAACTCTGCCAATTCTGAGGTGCAATTTGTCCAAGCTTTGCTCTTTCAATCTTGTAAACCGATAGATGCTCTACTGCCGATTTGACTGGTTTGGTTGGGAGTGTCATTATTACACTAATTGAAAAAACATACAACAGTGAGGATTCGCTGGTGGTCACCCACCCAACTACTAACTCACCGGCGTGTGGCTTAAGTACGGCTGAGCGGACGGGAAGCCCTGTTTTCCACACCCTATGGTCGTATGTGGTATTTTTTTTTGCAGATGATGAACATATAGCAAGAGTTGAAAATGACCACAGTAAGTTTTGCATCGCGGGTAGCAAGGTGCGCAGTAGATAGGATAAGAACCGAGTCACGCGATCCCCACGCTGAGTTGTCCTGCCAAATTTTAAATTTATCGGGCATTTAGGATGTAGATGCGCCTGGCAGAGACCGAGTAATAAGAGGAATGATTGAATTGTCAGAAGTAAATTGAGGCTAACTCAGAAACAGTGCAATTAATTTACGCAAGCACTTCTTTGTGACTTTAGATTAGGAGGTTTCTAACCGATCTTCCTAAATTATCTCTAACATTATCTTGTGATCAAACTCATCATATAGCCTCCCGAATATAAGGTTATTCTTCTTTCCCTTTCTTAGTGCCTGTGGCGGAGTGGAGAGAATAACGCCTTTGTGGGTGTCTCGTTAGTATGGAGTTTATTTGGTCGGAGCGTTTCCATTGGCTTTCACTACAAACCACCGATTCTGTCCGGGGTACCTATAGCTATAGAATACATTAGAATGTCGGAACAAAACTTAGCTCTAGGAAATATCTAGAAGTATGCTCACGTTGGTCGCCGAAGCCTTGATCGTCAGTGTTTAATTCCAATGTTAGTATCATGTACATAGATCGACGTTAGACCCTAATCGTTTCTAATAGTAAGATTGGGGTTTTCTAAATACCTCGATTTATTAAAAAGTGGCAGTGCTATTGTTTCTATATTTTCTAATGGGAGCAACACTATCTATACCGACATTTCCGGGGTGCTTCATCTTGGCATAAATACAGGAGACCCCGGTCTTCCATGAAGACTGGGGTTCATGGAAGACCGGAAAAGTTGCTCCTCTTTGGAGCTAACCGGTGCCGCAAAAAATTCGCTCCTTTCAACAGCTAACTGTCGGTGACACAATTGCATTCAGACGTTACTGCAGACACACTTCTCGCGAGATTTCAGTTACATTTGGAGTCGGGGTCGCTACTAGTCGGACACTGCAGATGTACATCTTGCAGAAGCTCACTTAGGATTAGCGTCTCTAGTGGTCTTTGTGGCCACTAGCTCTCTGCATCGCAGCAACGCGACTCAGGCTTTACTGCAAGCCCGGAGCCTACAATATATAGGCTAACTTGTATTATGAGCGTGAACATGTCCCAGGCTCGCTCGATACCAACCCCGTCTCCGTCAACGAGTTGAAGTTTTCACTCGGCCACTCGGCCGTTATCTCATCATATTTACAGCCACTTCGAATTGATACCTCGGTCGTATGGCTTGTTTGATCTGTGCGACTAGATGTGTCGATTAAGTGCGGGCTGCCTAAGTCTGTCGGGAGGCGCTCGTGCCTAACATTTCCGAATTCTGAGCCAAAGCGCTTATAGCTGATAGCTTTCATAGCTTATAAAAATATACTTGATAAATGATGGTGAGTGGACTTCTTTATCCTCAGTTCAGAAAGGGATAACTCATTTAGAAAGGGCTAAGTCTGGTAAAGATAGATGCGGTGCTCTTACCAAAAGCTAGCCAGTTTGAACTCCCTCAGTATCAAACTAGGGTCGAGGTTGCTCTGGATTATGCGTGCAATGGGCTTAAGCAATGACTGTCTTACGTTGATTGCGGCCTCCATCCTCGAGCTATGTAAGGGGGCTCTTACCATCAAGATATGCAACAGTCATGATAAAGTTGACGTGTGAAGGCGATAGGATGTTGGATATCTGATGGATAGGATGGTTGGAGGAGGAAAATCGGGGGAAAAATTGAGGCAGATGGCTGTCCGTTATAAGTTGCCGTTGGCACTCAAGGCAGGATTGCCAAAATGCCCTATTCAGCAACCATTAAGCCTATTTACCAATTTTCCAAGACTCAGCTTAGTTTTTCACTCCCTTAATGTTCTAGTATGTGGTCTCGAGGTTTATTCGCTAAGGTAACATCCATCACAGGAATTCAGGGTATACCTAGAGAGCCGAAAGTAGCTGAAACAAGTTTCTGTTTCTCTTACTTTGCTACTTTGCTCTTTTTGGAAAAAAAAAATTATTCACAACTTACATCAATAAAGACATGGAAAAGTTATAGCTCCTTTTCTTCACGTACCGAAAACTAGATGTAATCTACATTTTTTTCTTTAAGGTTTTAATGAAATTGGAAAGATCGTTGGTTTTGAGGCAAAAACTGAGCTCCGAGCCGATTTTCATTAACGGAATGCGTCGTCACCTTCTGCAAACGTTTCATTTCCTGGTCATCTGAAATGAGTTAAGACACCTCAAACCCATTGTACCGTCATCCGATCCACTCATCAGTGTGGATGATAAATGAGAATAATAGAAGAAAAACTCTAAAGCCCCAGCCCCGCAGAGGGGCCATCTCGTTAGATACTGAGATCCGATCATAGCCAACTATAAATGTAGAAACAATTTTGCCCCTAACCCTTACTTTCATTGGAGATACGCTGTCCCAGCTTCGTGGCTTTGGTATCTATCCACTTAGCCAATCAAATGAGGGTATATCTCTAATTAAGCGCTGTATTAGATCAAAGCAAGTTACACTAGTGTGAATTTTCCCGGCTCTAGTTGTCGTTGTAGTCTGTTGATCTTCCTCCGATAGCTATCACTTTACGAGATTTTTTATCACACTAGCTACGCTCTAGTTCTTAGCGAAAGATACAGGCCGCTCTTCTAGGTTGATTTAAGATCCCTTCTGGAAATTTTAGTTTCCAGCTTTGGATTAACCGAGACCTATCTCACCTCGGAGGAATTTTCCTCTGTTATGCGGACTGACTGGGTATATAACGTGTACGATAAAGAGATAGTATATAATAATTTTATTGAGAATTAAATTAACCTTGGCTACATTTTGCTTGACAGAGAGAGCCCACTAGTAACCCCTTAGTAGCTAGGTACTTTGATCTAAATATCACATTAATGCTTATGTGGAAAAAATTTCGAAGACTTCCTATATCATGGCAGGTGATTAAGTTGAGACAAGAGCTCACGTAGATAGAATTTATCGCGCTTCTCCGCGTAATGCTCCGAGATTCTTATAGTTCAATCTCCTAAACCTAAGTGTAGGCTCTGCTTGTCTAGCTCTTTAATTATTTATCTTCCTTTTTTAAAAGGGCAAACAATAAATGTAGTCGGCAGACTTGCCCGGCCTTGTCCTAAATTT